AAAAAAAAAAAAAAAAAAAAAAAAAAAGAAAAAAGAAAAAAAAAAGAAGAAGAAAATACGCGTACGTACGCTTCTTCCCTTTCGATTCTAATTGAATAGAATTCATTCAACGAATTGCAGAAATTGTATTCGAATTGCAACAACTTGCAATGAATCGAGAACAATTTACTCGATTGACTGTTTTATCTTTATGGTCAATTTCTTTAAAGAAACCTCTTTAATTTGTACGCTTCACATTGGAGAAATGTAGATTAACAATCCTTGCAATTATTTGATACGTGAATTAGAAATGTTATTGCTAACTGTATTCGGTAGTCAGCTAATTTCTTTGGATCGAATATTTTATGTAACTATCAACAATTATGATACGTTATAATTAAATAATCTCGTCTCGTTCGATAATGAAATAACAAACCATGAAATTACAAAATATCTTTATATATATTATTATCATAATTATAATGAATTTCTATTTCTACTTATAATTGTCGTTTAAATAGACTTTTTAGAGAGAAAGATTTTTTTTTTTTTTTTCTCTCTCTTCTTTTCTCGTGCCGTATAGAAGAAGCGTCGATGGCCGCTTTTGTCATCGCGCTCGGTTACGCCATGCATGAACGTGGAGAAACACACCGTGCACACACACCGTCCTTCCTTTTTCGTTCGTTCTTTCGACGTTCTCGTGGCCGGCCACGTTTTTACCAAACGCTATCCGCCACCACGATCGCTACTAGACCTTAATCTATTTCATTTCGTCTCGTTAACAACACGCTCTCACTGGCCCCCTCTCCCTTCCTCCTCTTCCGTTTGCCAGTTGTTCAACGTGGCGAGGGGAGGGGGAGTAAATGCCTGACCGATATCGAGGCTAGATAACGGGCCTCGTTGCCGTACATCTTTTTCAATTGCACGCTCATTGATACACCTCGATGACGAAGCGCTTCGAGAAATTTCGAACGATATCTTTCCCATTTTATTCTTCTATCTATTAGATATCTATCCGATATCCATTTTTCAAATTCATTGAAGAATTCTTCGATAGAGAAAAAAAAAAAAAAAAAAAAAATTCAAAAGCAAACTGAATTTTCTTCCTACCGTATATAACATAAGTTTATCGATATGAGAATTCTTCTATCGCGTATGTGAATATTACATAGATAGATACCTTGGCAAATTCTTGGCCAAAAATGAAAATTCAATTACAAATCTTTCGATTCAATTTAAACATTTCGATTCTTGAATCAACGCAATATTTAAAAAACGAGGAATGAACGAGGATACAAATAATACATTCCCTGGAAGAAGATCTCCAATCTCTTATATCGGATTATAATATTCGGCCGCGTCCGAATTTTTCGCCAAAAACGTCCAAGTATGCGGTTGGTACCAGGCACCGACTTTTATCTCGCGACCGGTTGACTCACCGTTTATCTTTACGTTCGCCTAGACGGTATTGTCCGCCTGTTATCTTCCACTATTTACCAAAGAAGAACCACCAGTCGATCAACAGATAGCGTCGAGTCATTGTCTAAACTCGTTCCTTTTTTTCTTTTTTTTTCTTTCTCTCCGTCTCCTCCCCGCCCCTAAAAATAATCTTCCAGTGTCGCGATACCGAATCATTTTGCCTCTCAACCATCGTAATTATTCCTGTAAACGAGGAACTCTCCGTTCGATATCCTCCCCCGTGAACCATCCCGCGATACGAAGCGTCGAGTTGAACGAGGATAGGAAAGTTCTCAATAACCAGGGTGGTGACGGTTGCTCTCTCGCCTAAACGCGTGAAATGAAAGCGAGGCATCTCGCGTATCTCTCTCTCTCTCTCTCTCTCTCTCTGTTGTTTCTCCTGCCCGCTTCTCTTCATTTACGTCACTACGTGGCTGCCGGGGACGAGAAGCTAAGCTGAAGCCCGAGCGCACAATAATTCTATCTATCTATTTATCTTCTTCAGCCTTCAAAAGAAGAGGGAACAATGACGCGGCTCGCGAGACGTTCGGCAATTTGTTGCGGCGAGAGAGAAAGAGAGGAGGAGGAGGAGGAAGAGGAAGAGGGGTGGACAGAGAAAGGCACGGACTGAATGATAAAAGGGACGAAGAGAGAGGGAGAGAGAGTGTGAGAGGATCGAAAGAGAAGTAGTAGCTAGAATAAACCATTTGAGAGGGAGAGAGTGAGGAGAGATTGTAGAAAGAGAGAGAGAGAGGGACATAGCAGTGCACACACTACAGTAGAAAGAGGTAGACAGAGAGAAAAAAACGGGGATAGAGAATGGAAGAACGAGAGAGAGAGAGAGAGAGAGGGAGAGAGAGTGGGTGAGTTGTACGCAGTCGAGGTAGCCTCTATCCACGGCTGGGATCTAATCTCCCTCGGGAATCTGGCATCCTATACCGGTATCGTTCAGGGAATCTCTTCTCCACCTCCCAACCTCCCACTTCT